ATGTGTGCGGTTTTGAGTTTGTTTTTTTGTGGTTTGGGTTGGTTTGGACTTGGACTTGGTTTTCTATTGCTTCAGCTATCAGAGGTAATGGCATTATAAATGTAGCTATTAGACCTTAAAGGCTATGGTGAGTCTTTTGCACTACCAAGGCTGTCTGTGCACCACGTACTAAATAGCTCCTCAAATTGTGTATTATCTCTTGAGTTGTCTGTTTTTCAGATGTGATACTGGAGTCAGCCTGTATTTTGTTTTTCTAAGGTTTTTTGAGATTTGTCAGATCTTGTTGGATACATTTTTTTACTTTAGAAAGAAATAGTGACAGTACAGCACAGAGAACACATTTTACCTCATAAATAATATTAATTCTTCCACCTCTTGCAGTATTTATCTGGGCGTGAGTGGTACAACCAGCAGGCTTCCCGGGCTGTCAATCAGGCCATTGGCAGGGTCATCAGACATCGCCAAGACTACGGTGCGATCTTCCTCTGTGACCAAAGGTGAAACCTTGGCTCTAGAACATGAACATGCATCAATGTCTTCATGTCCCAACACGAGTATCGGTATTTTGGATATAAAATGCGCTGATATTACTGGTTGGAGAAGGCTACGGCTCAGAAGTGATTAGATTATTTCATTTAGCAGGTTATATAAATATTGCACTGTTTTAAGAAGATAACTGGATTCTTGCTTTCTGCTCCTAGAATATGCTGTCTTGGAGCTGCAGAAAGTGATTAATGCTATTAATGCCAAATAAGCAAGTTTGTTGAATTCATGTTCATAACACTACTGGGAATCGTGTGGTAACGTGGTTTTACATTTTCTCCATCTGTCATTAGAGAAGGCAGTGACCAGCTTTGTGAGAGGAGGGGAACGAAAATGAGGAAAGATTAGATTGCTGAAACAATACAATCTGTATTAATAGATTAATGTTATCTTGCATGTTATATTAATGGATATTTATGAATATAATGGACAACAAGAGTTGCCTCAATGCTGAGGCTTGACTGGGGACAGCGAGCACGTCACGATTCACTGCTTCATAGTTACAGTTGCACAGTTAAAGGTTTTATGGGCAAAAGATAAGAACTGGCTCATGGCGTGGTGCGTGCTACCAACAGAGCCCTTTTCTCCTGAGCAAAGCCATCACCTCATCTCATTTATTGTGCTGTTTCAACCTTCTGCTGTTTCGGTGCTCCTCCCTAGTCCTTTTGGACCCCGATCTAGCATCGATTGAATTCATGTAGGCCATCCTGGCAAATAATTCTCTCCCAATTCCGCACAGGTTCACAACTTGTGAGGTGAGAAGCCGGTTGCCATCGTGGGTCCGCCCATATGTGAACGTTTATGACAACTTTGGGCATGCAGTCAGAAGCGTCTCCCTCTTCTTTCGTGTTGCTCAAGAAACTGTGAGTATCTTGAAAATTTGTTGGTTGGTTTTTTATTTTTTTGATAGTGTTGGAAACTGGGAAGACTAAGCCAGATGAACCATATGATGGAGTCACTTATCTTCTCACTCCATCAGTTGTCTTTTCTGAACATCGGTAGTTTTCCGGGAAAGGAGAGATGCTTCATCTTTCTCAAAGAGTGAACAGGGACAGGATGTGTTGTCATGCTGGTCAAGTCATTAGGTTAGATCACAAAAATAACTTCCTTTTCCAGTCCCTCATAAATAAACACAGCTTTCTATGACTGGAACTGATGTTAGCATCAAAAAGCTTGTTGTCTTGCCCTCAGGAAGAGGGTATACGTGTGGAAGAACCAGTCAAACCCTTAAATTTAAGTATAAGTTGACCAGTTTAAAGGGCAAGATGAACCCACCAGTTGTTACAGTTCATCAGTGGGTCATTTTTACTAGTGTGGCTTCTCTCTTAGCATTAGGAAGGTTTTTTTCTCAGTAATAGTTCCTTAATTTAAAAAGTGTTGTAAAAAGACTTTCTAATTGACTGGAGAAAGTCATAGCAAGAAGTGGGCTGGAAGCCGACATGGGAAAGTCTTTGTCCCCAAAATAGAGATTAAGGTGAAAATTACCTTTAAGATTAAACCTACAATTTCATATACAGATTTGGATGACTTCCTGGAGGATGCTTTAGCCAAATACAAGTTGTTCAAAGTAAGTCACGGATGGATGACTTGATGATCTTTACTGTTCATAAAGGAGAGTTTGGTGATAAATAAGAACCACAACCCAACGTGCATTGCTGGAGGAGCTGCGTTGCAGGGACAGTATAAGAAAGCAATTGCTCTTTAGCAGGGTCGTGACCTTTTTTTCTATTACACAGGTCCCTTAGTGCTGAGCTGCTTACTCCATTTCATCCATCTGTGTCACTTCCTAGTTATTTAATCCTTTTCTTCAAAAGCATGTAAACCCAGAATGGCTAACAGTCTTGCTGTCAAAGATTATTTGGGGAAAAAGGAGATGTCTTGGGGTTGTTGCAGAAACTTTTGGTTGCAAAGGAAGTGTGATGGAAGAGTAGCTTTTGCCTGCTGTAGCATTTTTGTAACCTGCTTGCAGATGCCCCCGCCCCTGCCACAATGTCCTTCTGGCTCTGCTGCTTCCCTGAGTGAGACCAATACGGCCCTATCTACTTCATCTGAGCAGATCCACTCCCTGAAAAAAGCCAAAAACTTGGACGACCATGTTCCCAGTTTGAAGAGGAAACGACAAGGTAGGTTTGACTTCTCAGAGACACCTTTTTTGGTTTCAAGCTGAACTGGAAAAACAGGAGTAAGAGACTAGAAACTGGAATGGGAGTGAGAGCAAGGAAAGCTCCAAGATGGATGTAAAAGTGTGACGAGGAGGGATGTAGCTTGTCCTTAGAAAATGAGGGAAGCAGTTGCAACAACAGAGCAAAGAAGCAGATGGAGCTTGAGAAAGTGTCCTGCAGAAAAGCAGTTTGGTGGAGTATCACAGATTAAAAATTAAGAACTGGAAGTCTGTTTCTAACTAGCACTGACTTGTACGTGTTCTCCTTCCATCCTGTTGTATGAATGACTCCTACACGCAGGAGAAAGAAAACGGAAAGAGGGCATTGACCTTGGAACAAAACAGTGTTTTAAAATTCACGGTTAACTGATGCCAAAGAATAAAGCATTTCTCGCCTCACATACTCTTTCAGAATGTTCCATTCTTGATGGCTTGCTGGTTTGGAACAGAACAATGACTTTGTGTTTAAAGATGTGGTTCCAGAAGAGTTACAACGGAGTGTGAGAGTGATTTCCCATCACATCTAAGCCAGCTTCAACTGACTGCTGGAGTAGTTTCAAAAAACAGTGAAAATATTTTGAAGAGAATGCCCTTTAGAAGTAGCAAACTGATGTTAACTTAACATTGCCTACAGCTCTAAATTCTTATATCTAAACCCAAACGTACCTGGATCCTCGTTAGTGAGGATGCGTATTCTTGGGATCAGAGATGACTGTGTCTTACAGATATTGATACTGTGGGAATTATAGGCTTTAAAAAAACTTATTCTGTTTAAAAGTAGTAAATCATATTTCATGGCAGAATCTCTCCAAAACCAGAAACTGAGTTTTTGGGAAATCCGTAAAGCTAAAGTAGTTAAGGCCAGAAAACTTGCAGTAAGAGGGTTTTTTCCCATTGATCCTAAGGCATTTTGAGATTAGCTGTGACCATCACTTAAGGAAAGATTTGAGAGAAATCTGCCAGGTTGTAGTAACAAATGCTTAAGCAACTTTGAGAGTGATTAACCAGTCTTCTGGCAAAGTCATATAATGCAGTTCTGCAAAATGTGGGAGATTAAATCGACCATGCTGTGTTAGATACTGAGGTATTGCCAAGTCAAAGAAAATGCGAGAGAAAACGTGGAATGTTGGTTTGTTTTGCTGTGGTGCTAGGAAATGGAGCTGGACCATCCAGCCTATGCGTGGAGTATGAACAAGAGCTCGTGTCGCCTAGAAGACCATGGATGGGGCTCTTGAAAGCGTTGGAGCACAACGAGAAGAGCGACAAAGATGCAGAGGAGGAAAGTGACCTGCCAGGAGAGGAGAAGGTAACAGCAGTGGTGTTGCAAAATACTTGCTTGTAAGTAAAAATTGGAGGCTCTGAGGCAAGATGAGTTTGGTGTTGATTTAAGAGCACCAGTTCAACCCTGTTCAAAAAAAAAGCTCACTGTAATCAGTGCTAGTAACGGCAAATTCTGATAATTAAGCTTAATCAAAGGATTTCCGTGCCACATTCGGCTAGGTGACCAACAGGTACACGCTTGTTCTGTGCTCTTCAGCTGCTGACCATGTAGATTTCTGAAAGTTCACTGCTCTCTGGAGAGCAAAGACCTCTCAAAGAAGAGGTGGGTAGATAACATCGTTCCTCCTAGGTGGAATCTGCATCATCACTTGGTACGTGACCAGCTGTTGAATTCAAAAAAGGAAGCAGGGAAGGTTTATGAATTAGACATTGCACTTAATCTGAATCAAAAATCCACTGTTGCATTGAGATCAACAGAGCTTCTCCTGCGCTGCTCGTTTTCTTTCCTCTTGGATGGGTATTTTTAGTACATCAGTGGTTAGGCTGTGGTGCTCTTGCTTTCCCAAAGTCCCTGCTTGCACTTGTTGGTGGGGTACCTCCCTTGCCTGACTGCCATCAGCAGGATCATTTTACTGCCGCCTTGCACACTCAGTGTGGCTCATGATTAATGTGTGGACACCAGGAACGCTTATTGTAACAGACTTCTCCAACCTTAACAATTCTGTGCCTGAGGGAAGGTGTGGAGGTGTAAAGAGTATCTGGGGAATATCTAATGAGGCCTAAAGGGGATGGATAGAGTCATATACAAAACACAGGGAGTGTACAAACCTAGAGAAACGAACAAGGATGGAGAATGTTTAACTTGTATTGAGAAACTGGCTCTGTCACCCATGGAACGCTACAGCACAGACACCAGAACTGTTTCTTTGGAAAGCCTGGCGCGTCTCCAGGGACTTGGTAACTCCACTGCAGTATTTCTTTAACCCAGCCACGCGGCTGTTGGCGTAGCGCAGCGTTTCCTTATGTTGGATAAACTGATGGTCCTAATGCTCAGCAGCAAGTCAGTTCGTGTCTGCTTCCTGCATTTGGTGTTACTGCTCTTCCGTGGCTTGCAGGGAAACGTGGCGTCCCCCAGTGCTGCACCTGAACTGGTGGACTCTGGCTCCAGAGACCTGGGAAGTCCTGAGCCAGCTTTCACCCTCAGTCTGATTTTAATAAGCACTGGGTTTGGACTGATAAGGGGATGGGTGTGTTCCGTAGCTTTCTTTGCTGTCCATTGTAGTATCTGTGGTTGCTGTTTTTTCTTTTATCAAGCTTATACCGTGTCCTTGTTCATTAAATAATGGCCATTTAGCTGCTGCCATTGTGAAATAATTTGCTTGGGGTGAAACAAGAAAAGAAGCCTTTGGCATCTCAGGCCATCAAAATGCAAGTAATAGTCTCTCAGTCCGTTCAAAGAATGATTTGGCAGGTGCCCTTAATCACTTTTCCTTGTGAGATATACCTTCTGGAAGCCTTATTTCCTCTGGATCGTGCTCTTCAAGGTGATGATGCCTTTACATAGTCCAAGATTAAAAAGATGGTTTTGCTCATTTTTCTGACTTATTGCATGTATCATGAAAGTTTGGCTTGCTGCTTGTGTTCCAGCTCCCCATTCTGTTACGTGGTGCTTAAAATATATTGAAACCTGCACTTAAACCGTGGTCGGACTTGTCTGGAATTCAATATCCTTACCATATTGCAAGTGCACTGAAGGCTTTATTTGTGAGCATCGGCAACCAGCTCTGCAAACTGGCAAATCTGAGGTTATTGGCTTAAGGGTCTGGGCTTTTTTTTGGTGTTGCTGGTTTAGTTGTAGCCAGTTAAATTTGACTCTGAAGCTTTGTGATCTGAATAGACCTATTTAGTGGTCACAGTGTAACGTAGGGGTACTGCTGTGCTTCACTGGTTCTTCTCACAAATGAACACTTTAAATGCACTGGTAGTCACATCCTTGCTATGAAATTCTTTTATTGAGCAAGGGCAAAGAAGTAAATCACTTCCCTGCTTTCTCAACAGGTGTGTAGAAACCACCTGGCAATACACGGCTACCTCGCGTTTCTTCTGGTACTTGAGTGGTGGTTTTTTTTAATGTGGTTGATACTGTCTTGATCTAATATCAGAGTCTCTGCTGTTAAGCAATTCCACTCCTCTTGCTTTTGCCCACTCATGTCTATTTTGGAGCTTTTATATACTGATATTCCCAGTCGCCGCGTTACGAGCATGATTCTTTGTTACTGGGAATGGGAGGTGCTTAAAGAGCTCGTCAAGCCACAGGTGTTTCTCCTGCTGTCTCATCCTGTCTGCCCTGATATTTTCTACAAGTCTGCTTCATCTTCTCAATACCCCAAGAAAAGCCTGACAGAGGTTTTTCTTTAGAAGTGATGTACTCCCAGGCAGGAAAGTGAAAGGGCATGGGAGGCAGCAGTTACTTCCAGGGCTACTCCAAAACAGTTCCTTGTAGGTTCAACTGTTTTGGTCTCTTTGTCCAGTAAAAGATCACCTTCTAGAAACATGTGTCCCAGGATCTGTTGCAGTCGTTTAGGCTGACTTGCTTCACTTTCTTGAATGGATTTCACAAGCTAGGTAATGAGCTTCACTACTGGAAATGGCTAAATTAAATGGTAACTTTGAAAAGCTTTTTTATTTTTACCTTTCTTCTTTTCTTTTAATCTTCACAGGCACAACGTCTGTCAACGCTTTCGCTTCAATATGAGAAGAGGTTAACAGATGAGCAGAAAGGAGGAAGGAAGAAGATAAAGCTAATCAGCAATACAGTATGTGTTGTCTTATGTCTATGCCATTTCTTTGATCTGCAGACTGCTTTAATCTGAATTGCAAATTTCCAGGCAGATGGGTGACTGATGCCAGAGCAATTACATTTTTTCTCCAAATTGTAAATATTTGTCCATGCACATCTGAAAGCTATTTCTGTCATGCTCTTTCTCAAATCTAGATGTCCCAGGCACAATCAAGCACAGGTCCAGGTAGGGTGAGTCAGTGAAAAGAACTGTTTTCTGACATTTGCTACCTTGTGAACATTTTCTCCTAGACCAGCTGTGGTGGGTGGTTTCATTCTTTTCGATTAGAATAGAACAGATCAGTTGGAAGGGGCCTGCAAGAGTCACTTGGGCCAACTGCTGATGGAGCCTTGAACAGTAGAACTGACCAGGTTTGGGTAAGCGATCACATCCCAACCCCACCTGTGGTGGATCACTACATTTGCAGCCGTGCATTATGATTTTGCCCTGTCTCCAAGCTCAATTAACTCATTATGCAGTGAGTTGCTGAAGAGTCACGATAAATTCATGAGAAGTCACCATAAACTCGTGAGAGCCCCCTGGGTGATGGGGGGTGCAGTAGTTGTCCAAGGTCCTGCGCTAAGTGAGCGCTGTCAGGCTCCTAGTCGTGAGGGAGACAAAACTAGTAGAGGTGTAGAACTGGATCCTGGAGCTGGTAATATTCCAGATGTGAGGAAGGGAGCAGGTTCACTGCAGAACGTTGTGTTTGCAGTTTGTTTGCTGTCTGATGTCATGGTGAGTCAGCCCAGTCCTCTGTAGCAGCTTGAAGTAAAGGTTTGGAGTCAAAACCATTTCTCTTCTTAAGCCTTCTCCTAAGAATAGAGTTGTGCAATGAGACTGACTGCCTTCTCGAGGAATATTTCTGAAGCAGTCGCTCTTGTCAGCAGAGGTGACCTGCATCGCTCTTCTGTGAGGGAATGAGCACTCACAGGGATTAACATTTTAGAAATGGGTATTATAATGAGCTGGGGAAACGAACAATATACTTGTGCCTGAGGCATAATATACTTGTGACAAGGGTCCAACAGCTTCTGTGTTCCACACGTGTGAGCATGTTGTAATGCACAGGCACTTTTGTGAAGGACGGGTTGTTCTGAATCTGTTTCAGGTCCCTGGTGCTTGTGTTTCCCAACACGAGAGAGTAATCTCGCTTGCTCGTGTCAATAGTGCCCTCAAGAAATGTCTTAGAGGAACCAAAATTTCTGAACACCTTCCATTCTTTTGTTTCTCCCACTTCAGAGATTAATGTTTCTCAGTTAATTGGACATTTCTAGGAAGTAGGCCAGTTAGATTTAGGTTTTTTTCTGTGGAACTAAAACTGGTTTGATTTTTTTGGGGGTGGAAATAACACATGCATTACGAGCATGACTCCCATAATTGCAAGAGACGGTGATCTGTGAGTTGAAAGCGTTCGTTGTAAATATGTTACTTCCATCTGCCTTTGTGTGAGAGTAATTCCTAAAGTCATGCTGCTTACTGGGAAGTCTTCCTGCCTTTGCAGGAAGCGAAAAAACCGAAACCAACAGAGCCCAAGAAAGCCCGAGCTGCAGCATACATCGCGACGGTGAAGGAGACCCTGAGCCGAGAGAACTACGATCTCTTCTCTAAGGCTCTCCAGCACTACAAGAGTACAGATGACTTCCACACTATGTTGTCCCAGATGACCTCTCTCTTTACAGAGGATGAAAAAAACCACGTCTTGTTACGAGGTGGGGTGACATCCCCGGGATATTTATGTTACGTGACCTTTGCCTTTCTGATAGACTTGGGTAGACGTGTTTTGGATTTTGAAGTGCAAATCAGTCACCATGATGATCGTGAAGGTTCGTTGTCTTGTATGCCCGGACCACATGAAAAATCATCCCAGTCTAATTATTACATGTTAGTTTGCATCTTGACAGGCTTGAAAAAAAATCAGATTCTGTGGAAACTTGTAGTATAGTGTATTCCTTGTGACTTAGGAGGTAAGGTGAGGAGTGTGGTTGGTTGAGTTGGGTAGATGCGCTCATAAGGGCTCAGTGTTAATGCAGTAAATAAGTAGACAGACATTATATCTAGAGTTTTTCTGTTTAAATAAAGTGATCTGGGCAAGCGTGGATAGCTTTGATATTTTCTTGGCTTTTCACAACTGCGTTGACAGGAACTGGACTCCTGCCAACATTTGTTCTAGTTTAACAGGGTGTTTTTTCTCTGTGATTTTTCATTTCCCTCTCAACTTGGGAGCAAATGGGTGCATTTTTCTGTGACTTTTTTTCCCTTTACTAAAATAAAAAAGCATAGTAATGCATCCTGTAAAATATTTAAGGTTAATTTTAAAGTTAAGGAATGGGTAAGTCAGTATGAGCACTTAGTACTAAGAGTAGCTACAGTCTGTCCCTGAATTTGCTGATCTCACTATGTAAATAAAATATTTGATTGCCAAATTAAGGGCTAAGTCTGCTTTTCGCAAGTGGCAGGCACCTGAAACCTACAGTTCATTTGACGTTTAGGATTTTGGTTGGCAGGCGTTTTAGGGCAAATAAGAAAGGTGTAAAACTAACAGTGTATCAGTTACTCCAAGTATCAGCCCAGCAGATACTTTGGCCCCAAAGTCTATGAGGTAGCTCGTGATGTTTTACTGCAGGTATCCGTTTCAGGGAGAGGTAAGCTAGTTCCTGGTCACAATGAAAAAGTTGCACTTTATTACCTACTGGTAATATTGCCAGAAGTTTGCATGATAGCTGACCTTTTGTAACTTATAAGCGTGCTTATTGCGTAAGTGTTAGATAATGACAGTTAGATTTTAGGTTATTTAGCTGCGCTTTTTAATCTTCATGTTACCTCGCCTAGAAGTCCTGTCATTGTAGGCTTCTCTGTCATTTAATGACTGATTTTTCTTTTTTTTTTTTTTCTTTCTTCCCCTTCTTCTCTCTCACTAACGAAAGATTTTTACCAGTTTGTTCGACCTCAGCATAAAAAACAATTTGATGAAGTGTGTTGCAATCTGACTGGAGTGGGCTGCGGCTACAAACCTGAGCACAGCCTCCTGTGGGAAGAGAGGGAGCTGCTGGCCAAGAAAACAGGTGAGGAGCTTGGCTCAGCAGTTCTGTCATTCCATGGGCCCCTTGTATTTCTGCGTATTAGATGCATCTTGATCTACAAGGCTGGAAGGCAATTTGGTTTAATCAGTAGTGAGCTAAAGCTCCACTCTCAGTGCCTTACCATGAGTGTCAGTTACTGCATCATTTGTGAGGATGCTGTTTTGTTTCAAAAGGGGGTTTTACAGATCTATTTAAATCATTAATCTGAGTTTAAAAACTTTCTGTGTGTCGTCTTTGATATCCTGATAGAGCCACCAGCATTGAGATGTACCAGAATTGTGCCTAGAGGGCACCAGAATTGTGCCTAGAGTGTAATCCTGTCCTCATAGAGCTTCTGAAATTTTTGAAAGCCTGGAACAACGAAGTTCTAAAAAAAGCAGGGTATTAGCTCATTCCCTCTTATCAGAGAAGCACTTCAACAGGTGTTTTCAGCACGGAATGGCATACTTTTGACATGCACTATTCTATGTTCATTCTGCCCTAAGCTCCCTGTTAACAGACTGGTTTGATTTAACAGAAGAAAAGCAGAGGCAGCTGAAAACCAAATTCTCAGAAGACTTGGGTGCTCAGCTAAACCCTAGGCTCCACTTGAACCGGGGAGGAGTCCACTTGAAGACAGGACTGAACAGTGCAGGTACTTCTCACAGTAAATAAAAGCACAGTCCCTAGATAACACAAATTATGTTTTATTTCACCACAGACTACAAATTCTGGTGGGAACCAATGTTTTTTGTGTTCACCTGGCACAGCAGCTCGCGTTCTGTGGGTAGGGGCGATGGCAATTCAGAATTTTCAGCAAGGATCATGCAAAGCAAAACACAAAAAACCAAAAAATTTACTCAAGGTGCTTATAAAGGAACGCAAGTAAAGCCAGAAGCTTGCGCTAGAGACTGAGCTGGCAAAGGTCACTGAGGGAAAAGGTGATGTGAGCACAAGAGTGCTGGGCTTCCTGTTTGTCCAGGGCTCATGAAAGAGCCTTTTAAGGGGTGTAATTTTAGATTACACACATAGAAATCCAGGTATGAAGAACGAATCGTTTCCTGTTTAGTTATCAGTAATGTATGTACACTCCTCCTGTGGACAATCTGGTTTTTTATGCTGAAACAGAGACTGGCAAATGTGTTCTCACAATCTCCACACGCATCCCTCTAACTTCATGCTGCCCAGTATTTATCTTTTGAAATCAAAGGCTTGGTTGCCATTTGATTACAGATCTTCCTGTGAACAGCTGGGGAATTTTCTTGTATTTCTCACAAGGAAATGAGTAGGATAGTTGGACAGTTTAGAAGTCTTTCTTCAGAGGTTAAAGAATAGTCAAAGGCTAATCCTTCCTTTTATAATTTTTTTTTTATTATTATTTTAAAAGGTAATTTTTCCTGGAAGGCTTTAAAAGCTTTTCATATATGAAGCCATGTTACTGCTTTTGATTTTTTTCCCTGGTTTGTTTTGTATTTTAAGAACACTTGAACAAAACAGAGTCTTTGCTAATTATTTTGTCCTGAGGTCTGCAAGATTGATTTTGTTGCTTCCACGAAAAGTGATTGAGAAAATAGCAATAAATGGATGTACTGTTTTTGTTGCTCACTCCTTAAGTAGAGTATGCTCCTGTGAAAGCATCCAAAGGGTGTGTGATATGCCCTAAAAGATACTGAATACAAAATGCACACCCATGTCTTTTCGCTTTCAGGAAGTTGAACAAAACCCAGCATTTAAAACTTAATTATCTTATTGAACTTCTTGAGAAGTTCTTTAGTGCAAAGATCTACGTACCAAAAGATGTGGCTGGTTAATTTAAATCCATTTCTTATCATATACTTCATCCACATTTGCATGCCTGTAATATGCAAACCAGAATTTTTGCCTCTAAAACGCAGCAGGAACCAAAGGCTGACGTTTGGAACCAAAGTCCACGTGGAGGTTAGCAGGACGGTCACAGCTGCTCTCAGCGCGCTGTCGCACTCCTGCGTTGCTCTTTGCTCTCCTGTGGGTTGTTTGGCGTTAGCTGTTATTTTTTCACGTTATGTTTTCCTGTTGGGAAATACGCACACGTGTCTTTCTCCTTTTATTAATAAAAGGGGTGGGAAATCTACTCCGTACAGTTCCTCTTACAAGTTTACTTGCCAGCATAGAATCCTAGAACGGCTCAGGTTGGAAGGGACCTTAGACATCATCTGACCCACCCCCCCTGCCATGGGCAGGGATGCCTTTAACCAGCCCAGGTTGCTCAGGGCCTCATCCAACCTGGCCTGGAACATCCCCAGGGACGGGGCAGCCCCAGCCTCTCTGGGCAATCTGTTCCAGGGTCTTGCCACCCTCGCACTGAAAATTTCTTCCTAAGATCCAACCTAAACCTATTCTTCAGTTTAAATCCATTTCCCCTTGCCCTACTGCTGGCTGCTCTTGTAGAAGATCCCTCCCCAGCCTTCCTGGAGGTTCCCTTCAGGTATTGGCAGGCAGTGATAAGGTTCCCCCAGAGTCTTGTCTTCTCCAGGCTGAACCATCCAAGTTCTTTTGGCCTGTCCTCATAGCAGAGCTGCTCCAGCCCCTAGATGATCTTTGTGGCCTCCTTAGAGCCATTATAGCTGGTTAAGCCACGTTTAAAATGCTTCTGTTCCTTTGGTGTTAACACAAAAACCTAATTTATTGCTGACCTCTGTGCATCACGTCTTCTGCATCACCTTTTGCTCATTCCCTAGTGACCAGCTGATGCATTTCCCCATTTGAAATATCAAACCAACTCCACAAGATGCTAAAAGGAATTCTAGGGATTGCTTCCCAGGAGAAGCCCTTGGCTCTGCCCGAGGCCGTGCCGTGGGGACCTGTGGGGCTGTGCCCACAATGTTGGTTTCACCGCTTTGAATCAGCCCATCCTGTCTGAAGGAAAAGAGGAGTGGATGTGAAGGAGCGAGCTCTTTGTGCCTCCCCAAGCCTGCTCACGTGTGCTCTTTGTCTCTCAGGGCTGAACGCCAGTCGGGCTCGGAGGAAAGATGCTGAAGAAGCTTCAAGCTCGAAGAGAGATCCCTACCAGCTCCTCAGCACTTCCTACCTCAACGACGTGAGAAGGGCTTTGGACAAAAGTGCCTACAGCCGTTTCCATGAAGCGCTGCTGGCTTACAAGAGGACAGATGACTATGATGCCATGATAGCAGTGATAGCAGCCCTTGCCACTGACAGACCAGAAGACTTTCATCTCCTACAAAGTAAAGGATTTATTTCCTTTTAAATTGCTTCTAGCTGAAAAGGTGATGTAGGCGCTGCAGTCTCACATGAGGAATGACCTTTCACCGGTCATCAGTTTGCAAATTCTGCACTTTTAGGAGAAATTTGTAGAATTGGTGAGCTTCCCCTCTCCCATTTTTTGGCTTAGCGAACCAGATAAGTGGAGCAGGGGGAAGACGTGTTAAATGAGAGTCACTTAAAGAGTGAGAAAGGTCAAGGTTATAAAACATTATCTCTGTTTGCTCAGTTAGAAATTGTTGATTGGAAATGTTAGGTAAAAACCTCAGGAATTCCAGTCCTAACCTTCAGTCAAATTATTTCATTGCCTCTTTTTTCCCTTCTCAGTTACTACATATGGTTCAGAAAAGACAGTGCTGACTGTTGAACTGACTCAGTTTTGTTCTCCTGCTCACTGACTGTTACCGACGCTGTCTTGAATCAATTCCAGGTTTTGGGATAAGCAATCACTTTTGATTCAC